TATGATTTTGCTCAATCTATAAGGGAAAATATCAAAACAGAGGAAGTCAAATTTTCTCCTAATATAACAGGCTCTGGGATATTTTAAAGCATGCAATGAAGAATGATAAATCTTTTTTTTCTCTGTCTGTAGTGATGAGGTTAATGAGCTTGTCTGTAGTGATCAAATGGAATCTGATGATGAAGGGATACAATATCCATTCCTTGGAATCATTACCCCAATCTGTCAAAGATGAAGTGGCAGGTACAATCATATTATCCTATTTAAAGGTAAATGTGGATGGCATTCTTGTCTATTTTACACAGGAAAATACTTTTTCCAATATGCCGGATCAGAATTTACCTACATAATGTGCATTATGGGCATTATTGTCTGCAATGTTTGCAAACATATTCCTATACAAGCAACATAAAAAGGTGCACTTTGATTGTAACTGTCTATGTTTTCATTAAGCATGGTACGATATCCCTTGCAGAATACAAACATCCTTCTAACTAATTGCCTTCATTTCAGTAAGATAAAGATTCACTGTTAGTTCAATATTGTTCATCTTCCTCCAGGTCTAATCATGTAGAATTAACAGTTTGATTATCAGTTTAACCAAGATTCCTTCAAATTCTTCATGTCAGAATATTACATGAAGCCACACTAACCTAGGTAGACACTTTTTGTATGGATGAAGATTCTCCTACCTCGGCATGCTGAATGCATGGAGCAGCTCCATGGGCAATGTGCATAATTTTTTTATTAGTGCTGTTTTACTTTTTATTTGAAGAGAGTAATAGAGAATCAAACTCCCATCTCTGTGCAGTCAGTTGATCCCCACTAGGCTAAAAAAAAAAAGAATATGCTGCAAATCTATGATATATACCCCTTAAAGGAAGAACATCCCCCATTCTATACCTCTCATCAGAATACACATCAACCATGCAAAGCAGAGTAGCTTCCGAAGTGCAACAGACGCTGTGCAGATTTAATGGTTTGATGGCAAGACTGAAGATTTACAAAGCAACTTAACAAATACTGAACATGATTAAAAGAACCTTGATCACAACATCCTGTGTCAAATGTGACAGATTTGCAGGCTTCTTACTAGCAGATTAACTAATTTCCATCAATTCATATTAAATCTCTCTATTTTTGATAACCTCACCCCTTCCCAAGCTTGTCCTTCTGACCGAACACATCTTTCTGCATGGACAAGCCTATGGTGCATTCACTAGGCAAGACAGCTGTCTGCCATGCATAATGTTTCCTCAGGGAGCCCCCCATGGCAGGTGGAAGCCAAGCACAGCCTTCGGTATAGCGAGACTCCCACGGCTACATAGAGTGGTCTACAGCCATATGGCACTAGATCCAAATGTGCAGAGGTTTCCATTGGGTGTCCCACTCACGTGCAAAATTTAATTAAAATATAACATTCCCTTCCAATGGGACAGTCTGTCAAGCTGCCATACCAAGACCAGTGTACATTTAGGGCTAAAGAGTCTTCTGAGATGAGTGAACATGGTTGAATATAACAGTTTTAGTCATTCAAGTCTGTATGACACCAATGTGAGTCATTAACTTGTTTCCGGCATAATATTTATTCATTCTTTGCATTACATTTTAGGTGTAAAGCTGCTTTACAGCTAAATGTCACATAAATAAAGGGAGCTGTTGAAAGATTTATGTACTCCAAGGCAATAAATTGGTTCACAGACTCTACTTTAAACTGATGTCCCCTTTCTAAGGATATTTCAAGACACCCATCACACAGGAATAATAATCTGTCAATCTGAAAAAAAAAAAACCCAGTGTATTTTATCATTACCCTGTTTTAATTTTCCATAACAGCTTAACAGATTGACTTAAATATTTATTCATATCCTGGATGCTTATGGTTTTGTTTGGCCGTTTAATCATCAGTCATCTAGTTTCTATGAATTTATTTGACACACTAACTGACATACCATTGCAATCTTCCGATGGACCAAATAGATTTGCTGTAAAAAAAAATAAAACAGAATTTAAATTCAAAGACTAGGCTTCTCTTTGAGGTTAGGCCCAAAGAGATTATGAGGTTAAACAGCTTTCCTAATGAGGGAGACCTGCTTTTTTTTTTTATTATTATTACCGTGGTCCAGTAGGGTGTTTCTAATGACAAAATTAAAAAAAATCACAAAAATATGTCAGGAATAAATCAGAAAAAAAGAGAGGTGGACAAGAACAGAGCTTCTGATCTGAATAATGATCTCAGCTGGGCCCATGTAAAGACAACCAATGTTAAATGGTAACAGTCTGCCCATCGTGTGTGGGCTTAGTTTGATAAAATCTTTTCTTTTTTTATTGGATGATTGAATGTGCTAAAAATATAAATACAATCTGGTACGCTGACATTTTCAACTTACACAAAGGGATAGTTTTTTTGGGGGGGCAAACATTTAAGCAAAAGGCTTAAAAGCTGCCTAAGAAAAGTGAATTTAAATCAATTCCATTTGAAAACATTACAGTAAAAGGGGCAAAAACAGCATTATAATTGTTGTTGCTTTAGCCAGACATATAACCTAATGATAGTAACACCTTTTACTAGTAAGATGTGCAACTCTATGAAACTAACTTATAATTGACAGCTTGCATCAGCTCTGTTTATCAGTATAAAGACAGCTGTCTTAAGGTGGCTTTGCATTGGCTTAAGGGTACCTGACATGTTGTCATTATTTCCCTTGGTCCTGAAAGTCAAGCCCTGATTGAATTACTACAGTTTGAATTGGCATATCTGAATGCAGTCAGTGCAGAAACCTTTACTGTATAGACTTGAAACTATAACAAAATACTAAAATGAAATAAAAAATCCTGATTTTGAAAGATTTCACCAGGTAAACCCTGAAAGGATAAGCTGCAGGTAATTAAGTCTCAATCAATTCGAGACTCACTATTTTCACAGTAGGAGAACAGTCTATGAATCACTTCTATCTGTTAGCTGGCTGTCAGTTTGGGGAAGGTAATCAAAGCAGCTTTTGCAGAAAGCTATTCTAGTAAAAGTAGAGACAATGCTGAAACACAGGCCGTCATCCCAGATTGTATATAAACTTTTCTTTTAGTTTCAAAAAAAGAACTGTACAGCTCTTTCATAACCTTAGCCGTAAGGGAAAAAGACCCTAAAATCTAAATTCTTGCAATCATCGCAACAGATGAGGTCCTACCCTGCTTCCTTTAAAGCCAATCAGATCTGAAGTTGAAACTCTGGCTGAGAATATCAATATTACTTTCAGTCTGAATAAGCTAAGTCATGCTAGTAATCTAAAGCTATGCCTTTAATTATCTTAGGGTACAAATCATTTTGGGCTTAACTGCATATATTTTTATGAAATATGGTGAAAATATCTTAAGTGCTGAAACATAGACTTCATATGAATGTGTATTGAATGTTAATGTATTACCCTAAAGCTTGTTTCACAGTATATATATATATATATATATATATATATATATATATATATATATATATATATATATATATATATATATATATATATTTTTTTTTTTTTTTTTTTTTTTTTGTTGGTTACAAAAAAAGAAAAACAATTTTTACTGATAAGTTTTGCAATACAATTTTTTTGTGACATAATGACAAGGAACAGAGGTGGTTTTCACAAATCGTCTCTTTGTTTGTAAAATTCATAAGCCAGCTCAGAACCTGGTTCTGACACCAAACACTTCACAGCAGGAGAATTCTTTCAGAAGTCATTTACGGTAAGTCCTTTTTTAGGAATTCTAAACTTGTTTTTGGAAATGAAATGTTAAATCAAATCAAGTAAAGATACACCAAGATATTTGGAGTGCTGTTACTAAAATTACAGAAAAACTGAAAAAACAGAAAAAGCTACCAAAATAATTTCTGTCTTTATATATTCAGCCATCAGAAAGGTAAATTAACAAGGTGTCATAATGACAACTTTTCCTCAGATTCAAGGTTAAAGATAAAAGTAGGGGGTACCCTGCGAACGTGGACCCTTAATGCTAATCCAGGGATTTCGTTAAATCAAGATCTTCTTGGTGTTCTTTTTTTCCCCAACTGAATCCCAAATTCCATTATAATTTATTCGAATTAGGGACATTTTAGGTAGAACATGTTCTTTTGACTTGGTGTTAAGGTCTTTTTCAAATCAATCCTCAACTAATCTAAAAGATTTGTATCCTTTAGTTTTATAACCCTTTATAAGCACATCTTGCTTACTTCAAACATTAAACTCATATTAAGCAATAAATGATATCACACAGACCAAAGGTCTTTGAATATTTCATGGAATTCAAAGTGCTCTAGTTATTCTATGCTGTACTAACCCAAACTGGTATTGATCTTCTCATTTAGCTCTCGGAGAGAAAGCAAATACCATGGATCGCATTATTTGATTCAGGCATTGTCTGCCTATAGCTTGAGTCTAAACAATGATGAATACATACTGCAGGGCTAGAACATGCTTTACTTCTGCTGGCAAAAAGTCAAGAGAAACTGCTCTAATCATGGCAAATTATGCTCACAGTCTCCAGACAGCAACACTTGTCACGCCTGGTCAAAACAACATAATATAAAAATATTTTTGTTCAAAGAGGCAGCAAGATCTGAAAAGAAACTCAGAATATATTATTTGAGTAGGAATGGTAATTTTTATGTTTACAAAATGATACGACTGGAAGCTGTGCACTCGAATCTTAAAATGCCAGTTCTCTAAGGTACAGAATGTGAAATCTATTCATTAGCTTTGACAATATTTGGTCCCTTTTCTTTGCAAACCAAATCTATCATCGGCGTGTTCATATAGTAGAAAGAAAGATATAATGAAATATACAACTTTTTTTTAGTTTGCATACAGTATTAACAGATTTGTTTAAATAATATGTTTCTCAGATAGAACCAGCCTCTCACTGTGGCCCTTTCACAGCAGACTTACATCTTTTATAAAACAGACTAATTGCCAGCAAGTTGAGTTAAAATGTTCTAAGAAAGAGAACTTTACCTCCTGAATGTGGAGGAGGGCCACACAGCAAAACCACTCCTTGACCTTCACGTACTGAGACAGAGCTTCTTTTGTGAGTCTTGAAGTTCTCCAAGTCTGGAAAATAATGATGAAAAAACAAAACAAAACAAAAAATAGTTATTATATGTTACATACATGTGTTTTGTAAATGCTTGAAAACATCACTTTCACATTCATTGAAAGTCACAATGTCCTACAAAGTACAAAATTCCCTTTTATTGTAGGATGCTGTAAAAAGGAAAGCAAGCAAAAGTTTATCACTTATAACACACTCAGTAGAATTTCTCATCTTACTTTTTAACTGGAATTGCTCAGGAAGTGAAGCTTTAACAACTGTAGCCGTAACAATCAAAAGCAGATAATATCCAAACATAGAGAAGTTTCTTTAGTTCAACTTTTGATCGGAACATAAAGATGGGCTTAATGAAATCTGGGGGCATTCAGTGGAAGCAAATTAAAAATGATTTGGCTCCAAATAGCTGCTGGTATTGTCATAATTCATATTATACTTTTACTTAATATTCCAGACATACTGACTCCACAGGATCAGAAGTGATGTATCTGCAAAGGCACAGGAAGAACTAAAGGCTTTATGGATAATATTATTTTGATTGGACAATTTAAACACTCCCCAAAGAGAAAATACGTGTGATCAAAAATATTCATTCACCTGCCTTGACTCACCAACTTAAGTGAACTTAAGTGACACCCCAAGGTTTAATAAGACTTGGGTCCACCTAATGCAGTTATGTTATGGAACACCAATGCCCAAATCCTCTCCATTGTTTGTTCTATAAGGGCAAGCCTCACTATTCTGGCATTCATAGAACCACACCTGACAGAAAGAGAAATACTTGGTTAGTTATTTATGAACCCACATGTATTGTTTTCTAAAGAGATTAATTTACTTAATAATCAACTATAATTATTGATTGATGTTGCTAGCCACTGGCTTTATAGTTAATGAAATGTTTTTTATTTATTTTAAAGCAATAAAATAAAGCAATTTAACCTGAACTGCAGCTACATGTGGAGAATTTAAGTGTCTCATTTTGTTGTGTCTGCAATTGACATAAAAAGCAAACTCAATATGTTTCTACCCATTCTGCTTTTAAGTACAAGGGTTTGTCTCACCACATTTATCAGTTCCAGGGTAGTAATTGCTTAATCCTTCAACTGTCAAATGCAATTACAGGGGAAGAGTTTCTGATGAGGTGATGTAATAAAAAAAAAAGGCTGGGTGGAACCTCATTTTGCCACATTTTGTGTTTCCACTTCATTTAAATCTGAGGAGTTCTGCACCATTTGCAGGATTTTATTTGCCTCAGATGGCCGGTGTTTTAACAATATAAGCACAAACTGAAAAAGCTCATTAAAACGGACGGACAGACTGGCATTTACTGCTTGCCTACAGGCCCTTCAAATGCTCCCCATGGCCCCATGATGCTGGAACATCCCCCCTATAGTTTTTACCCTATGTGTGCAGTATGTATTACCTCTGCTCTGTAATTATTCTGATGGATATCTGGCCTGCAAATAAAAGAGAAAACACAATTTCAACCTGTCAGGTAACAAAGAGTGAAGAGAAACATTTGGGCGGGGGAAAAGTCAAATGTGGTAAGAACTGAAGCTGCGGCCTGTTCCCTGCCTCTGTGACTGTATGAATAATAAATCTGAACCCAGCGTGAGTTAAATACATTGAGAAAAAACACAACATGGAAATCAATAGTGACACACACCCACTTATATGAGCCAAACAGCAATCTGCCGCCTCTCTGCTAAGCAGAGACGGCTGCTGTGGCAAGTCACACATGAGAGATTTTAATAGCTCCGCTGGTAATCAGGTTACCTTTCATTCATCACGCCCACCAGCACTGAACATTACAAAGCTATTCCTGCTAAGGTTCTGATACCCAAAGTGCTGTTAAACTGAGCTAATTTTCTTTTGACAATTGATGGCAGCAGCAGGTCAGAAACACTTTGAGCAGACGTGCATCGAGCTCAGTAAATGTAACCACTGGGGTCCTCCTGTCAACACTGAAAGATACAAATCTCCAACATGGTTTGTTCAATCTGAACAATTCTCAACATTTTAAAAAGAGTTTTCTAGTACCTTCCAGTAACATAAATAACTTGTACTTTGAACTTGTTTTCACACATTTTGTCTGATTATTATTTTTTTTTCTGTATTTTATTGGAAGTGATTGAAACCAATTCTCCTGGTTTTCATTAACAAATAATCAGAAAATATCGTGCTTGGGTTTAAATTATATCCTCAAGCTAAATTAAATCAAGTGAAACCATTTGTCTTTAGAAGAGACCTACTCGCTAAATATAGTCCAGCTCCTTGTGATCAAATCCCATCTGTTCTGCCAAGGCTTGTTAAAACACAGCATCATGAATACCATGAAGATATCTTAAAGACTATGGTTAAATCTATGATATAAAATAAAAAAGAGTTTGCTACTGCTGCTTAAATGCAAAGACGTGCATGCTGACCTGAACTTCCTGGCAAGATGATTGGAGCTTTAATCAGCAACGCAGCCAAAAAGAGCCCATTACTGAGCCGTAGAGCTCTACAATTCAGGTATAAGATCTTTGACCAGGACAAATATCAATTATGTATTCAGCAAAAATTTTGGAAGAGTGATAACAACAATGTTGTTTTTAAATATCTACATCCAGGAGGACTCGTAATATATCACACATCAAACACCGGGAAGGTTTTTGATAGGACTATACAAAAATGTGTCTGAAAACTAGCAGTAAAGTCATTATTACCATTAAAAACACGGTGTTTGCGCCCGCATGCTGTGGGTCTTTATCAGAACAGAACTAGACAGTGGTGACACACTCATCAGGGATCTGGGTGTTTTAAGTTACTAATAATGGATAGAGTAACCAGAAATTTTACTCAAAAACACTTCCCCTATTTTAACAGAAAAAACTACAGATTCAGTTAGCTCTACGCCTACCGACGACACAGACGTCCATCCCTGTGAACACTGAAATGTAACTCAATGGGAAAGTAAATGATTCTTAGTTCTTATTTCGGCTGTTGCGTATATTAGCTGTGACATATGAATCAAGATGCTATGACCGAAAAAATGTAATTGACAGATGACCGTTGATATATGATTGGCCGAATTTAGGTGTACAAGCTGATGTATAACTAACTGGCCTGCATAAAATAAGAAAAAACTCGACAGATTTTAAGACAGGATTTATTTTTTTAAATAGAAATTTTCTAACTTTTTGGACAATATGTTCTGATAAAGAGTACATTTATATACATGTTTAAGCCAGAATGATTTGAAATTGAAATATGACTTCCCTACGATTCTAAACGCTACAAGAGCTAACGTTGATGGACCTTCTGTCTGAGCTTCAGGTAGTTCAATGTTAATACATAGCACTGCCTCATGTGAATACAAATATATGCAATACTTTTAAGATTAAAGCATTTCCACTTATCCATCATTAACTACTACTATTAGTATTTGTTGTTTTTTTATCTCAAAGTTTATTGCTGCCAATGTTGAAAAGTTTAAAAGGAATAAATATTTTTGTAAAGGCAATGCTTACCAAGCTATATGTTGGCACTATATAATGTCTTTCTCTTTACCTACCGCAAATTTGATGTCTTTTCATTTACACATTTACCATGATCTAAATGTTATTTTTAACCAGGAAACTGAAGACAGTCTGTTAATTATTCCACAAAGACAGGTGACACAGTGTCTCAAATGTATCCATACATATTCTCCAAATTGGGTTCATTAACCTTAATTAACCTTGTTCTGCAATATGCTGCATATTGTCAAGTCGGTTTGAGCAGCGGTGTGGATGCGCCTGCTCTCCTTGCAACCTTGCACGTCACCAAAACTGCCAGCAATCCTCTTTCAAATTAGATTACTGATTAGTTCACCACCAAGTGATCTAAATGTAAAATTATTGCACTTGCTGATTTATGCAGAGGACTGTGAGGTCAGATAATATGTCATATTGCCCGCAGCAAAGGTTCATTACCAGGCAGTCTTGATTTATTTCTTTAAGCATAAATCTGCTCTTAAGCCTTGTGAACGGCTTAGCTAATAGTTATTTAAATCCTATTAAGGAGATGATTTCTTTTATTTTTCTGAAGATTAATGCCAGATTGATGCCTTTAGGGGCTAATAGATGTGTCTGACTCAGAGGGTTAAAAGACCTCAGTATCTTGTTATTGCTTGTAACTCATTAAAAAACTGGTTCTGCATTCGTACCTCTGTAACTATAGGTGCAGTTCAGGTCAGAAGTTTACATACGCGGTAATCATGATATATTTTCTACTGCAGTATTTATCTGGAATGATCATACTACAGTTTCTTAATTTTTACAATTGCTTTGTCCAAGGCACCCGTGTCACTGGATGTAATGAAGGCACTTGTGGTGCTCCTAACACCACCATGTTTAAGACTTGATATATTGCTCTCCTTTCAAGAAAGCCTGACCTAGGTTACTATAAAAGTACATCTTGCCCTGGCTAAATTTCTCGATCTGTGACTCTTTTGATGATACAACTGATCTCCAGAGGGTATTTTGCTTCTCATATGGGTAACTGCAAACCTAAGCAAGACTTCACTATCTGAGTTTCAGAGACATGGATTCTCTCAGATGATATTGAGATTAGACTGTCCAGACGTTTTAGGTTCAGTATAGGCTTCAGGCGTGGTGATTCCATGGAATTTTCTTGGACTTCCTAACCAATATACTTAATCTGATGGTGAAAGTTTGTTTAAAATAAGAACATACAAAGATCATTAGCCTTCACGATAGTGACATTTATATGCCCCTTGCTGACAATAATGAAATGTTAGCGTGGGTGTACATACATTTAAACCAATATATATTATTTTGATTCAATTTGGAAAACGGATAATAATTTTAAAGTTTCCACCAATTTCTTGTTTTCAAAAAGCACTAAAGAGGTTGAAAGTTATCCCACCCTAAATCAAAAACACTTAAAATCTCTTATTTTGGCAGGTGGGGTTCATTCTGAGTGGAAGTAACCCTTTAACACTAATCAGCACGGAGAG